TGTGAATGTTGGGGAAGAGGGCTGCTAAGTTATCTCCCATCATGATCAAGAATTCAATGCAAGAAGACTGCAAATATGGAATCAAGTTTCGATCTTTACAAAGGAATGTAGAACTTAGTCAAGTATAAATTAATGCTGAAACGAGGAGAAGATCAGAGTCCCATACTTACATATAGCTCAAGATACAAGATTATCTGCATATATATATATCAAGTTTAAAGTTCAGAGTTAGATGGTATACGAAATATTGCTTCAAGATAATATATATCAAATGAAAAGTAAAAGATGTTGGCGATAACTACAGAGTTGCATCATTATATACTTACTGCTACAAGTACTCTACCAGTCATGCCAAAAGCAGCCTGCCCGATATCTGGGTAAGTTTGAAGCCCTGGCGAGCTTTCTAAGCACCTCTTCAACAAAATCCCAGTGTAACAAGTAATGATTCCATAAAGAAGGAACAGAAAGAGGCTAAGCCAACCACCCTCTTTAACAGCTAAAGGAGTAGCAAGAATTCCAATACCACACAACACATTTATTGCTGAAAAAAAAGTCGGAGAAAAATTTCCATCAGATATACAATGCCATTCTATTAAAAAAAAAAAATGTATGTATCTCAATAGAATGTCTTTTTTCTTACAATTGATAAGTGCCTGAGTGTATGAACACTCCTGTCGTGGAGTCAATTCAGGAACAGAGACATGCGATACTGAAGTTGTAGGTGATATCTTTGCAGGAAGTGTTGATGTTGGCACTGGCACTTCCTCGTCGTTTAAACAACTTGTATCCGCGAAGAGAGGTTTACTCAGAGAATTGGAAGATTGAAGTAAAGGCGATTGAGGCCTCCTGTATGGTGAAGTTAAGTAGGAGGCGCCCCTCAAGATGCTTACAGAAGGAGAGGCAACTGATGTGTACATATCCATCGACTGCCTATACACTCAAAACATGAAATTTAACCACAGAAGATCATATAAACACACACACACACACTACTTTCTAAGATTATAAAACATGTTTTGCTAATTGATAACAATTAAGGAGTATGCAAAAACCAAACAATTGCCACTGACATGGAAGAAACATGAATTCTTGATTTATCAAGTTTAAAAGAAAAAAAAAAACTATAAATAAAAGAACCCTTAATTGTTTCAAGATTTATATATAAACCTAAATTGTTGATCAGGAAGTCTAATACAGACAGGACAACATAGAAAACATTCTCAGAAAGCAGTCAGGCTAAAGAACCTCAATAAAAACACACATTTCAAGATTCATATACAACCCCGAATTAAGGATCAGATAATTCTCCTTTAATTGAATGTTAACAAGTTGGGGGGGTGTTAATTTCCAATAGTTACACGCAAGAAAAATTAAGGGTATGAAAGACAAAAATGGAATAAATTAAAACCTGTAACTTTGAGGCCAATGAGGATAAACAGAGTCGAGGAAGTTGTTGTCGGAGGGATTTCTGCGAGGGCCGACATGATCTTCAGATTCTGTGTCGTCGTTATCCTCATCGTCTTCGGCGTGAGCGGTTTCAGCCTCATTCTCTTCATCGTCTGTTTCGATATGGATCACCCGGTCCGCCCCAAATTCCTCGTCCAGCTTCATTCGGATCTCTTAAAATGAAATATTCCTTCAATTTTCTCTCTGCTTCGTTCTTCGTAATTCTCCGTCGTCAAATAGTATGGATCAAAACCATGCAAAATTCCCTCAGTGTTCTACACCCATGCAACCTTTACTTCTGTCTGTGTAACAATGTCAGCAATTCTAGGATTAATGGAGGATGATTATATTAATATTATTGCATTATCACTATTATGATTATTATTAGTAATTTAGTATTTAGTATATAACCTTTTGTGGCAACAATTGGAATAAATTATAATTAATGCTAGAATTTGGGAAATAAAAGATGAAGACTCATGTTTGGGTTCGTCTTCTTGAAGGAACAAATAACGTAGAATACAAATTAAGTCAGCCCTAGAATCGGATAAGATCTATCCGTTTTTTTTGTTTATAATTCAAAATTTCAAGATATGTTTATACTTAAGAAAAAACTCATCCTTTAGCAGTATATACGAATCTTTAGACAATTTAATATATCAAATACTTATATTTTGTAATAATACATTAATACTAAAAAAAAATTACACTATTTAACACTTAGGGGATGCTTGGTTCATGATTCTTTAAAGTGGAGGAAAATGTTGTTATTTTGGTGTTTGGTTCATGGATTCCTCAAATTCGAGGAAAACAAAATCCTTGGTTGGACCAAGGATTTTGTTTTCCATGGAAGATGAGAAGAAAAAGTGATATGGTTTGACTATTTTACCATTGTTTTCTTTCTTAATTATATTACTCTTATTAATTTGTAGGGACATATATATCTTTATACTCGTTATTCCTTACAATTCCAAATCTAACCAAACAATAGAATTAGTATTCCCAGTAATTCTTTTTCCACCAACCAAACAATGAAATTCATCTTCCTAGTATTTATTTTTCCATGGAATTTCAATTCCACTTCTCTTAAAATATTTTCCGCGAACCAAACAAGCCCTTAGGATGCGTTTGGAAACCTGAAAAATGATTTTCATTTTCGTGTTTAGCTAGAGGGGGGAAAATAGATGTTAATAGAAAATATGAGTGTGGTCAATTAAAAATAGGGGATTTTCTGGAAAATAACTTCCCCTTTTGTTTGGGGGAAGTCATTTCCCATTTGCAACAGTAGTTGGAGTAGCCAATCACCCGCCGCCGCCACCACCTACCACCACCACCATTGTATGTTTTAAATTTTAAAGAAAATATTTTCTGAAAAATGATTCATTTTCCAGAAGTCATTTTCTTACTTTCCTAACACACCCTTAAAGAAATTATATTCGACTCGACTTTGCTGAGCTGGCTAATTCGTAGCTATTAGTTGTCAACTATAATTCTAATCATGATTTAGTATATGAGAAATTATTTTTGAAATTTTGGTTTGAACTTGTTAATTATATAAAATAAAATTTTAGGTGCATTGTATTAAAAAATGATATTTATAATTTAAATAAATGAATACTTTCTCATTTATCAAATGTAAAATAATTTGAATATATAGTTTTTTATATTTCAATGATTTAAGGTTTGAATTTTGCTTCTTTTTTTGTGCATTGGAGTGGGAACTTGGCATTTGGTGATCCATTGGTATGATGTAAGGGTGATGTTTTGTAGTTACTTTTTCATATGATTTTGGGATTGATAGTTACGTGAACACACTGAAGAATTTATGAGCATTTCAATAAAAGCATAATGTAAACTACCACCAAATAATTAATCAAAATAAGATAAATAAAGCCCGCATGGATAGCTTAACTGGTCATAGAGGTAAAACTTTGAAAGAATGATTAGGGATCAAGTCTCACCAACGATAGTGGGATTGGTGAGAAGGGCCTTTGTGCGCACTAAGTATCAATAGGGCCGGGGTGTGGAGGGCCCCTAGGGTTGGGATTCTTCCTTTTGGAAGAAAAATAAGATAAATAAACAATTTTATAGAGCATGGACGTTGAATCAATAGTTTTTTTTTTTTTTTTTTTTTTTTTTTTTTTTTTTTTTTTTAATACAAAATAGATTGAGCGTTCAATATTTACGAACTCATAAACTATTTATACTATATGAATAACAATATTAATCAATTCTGAGCTAGTCTTCCGAGTGTAATAACACTCTTTAATGATTATAATAGACGAGTGTCACAATACCAAGTCTCTAAAAATTCAATCGTTATATCCTACACCACAGCGCACATAGCACTGTGCGCCGCGCGCCTCCCAAAACGACGTCGTTTTGGGGTAGTTTTGGGAGGCGCGATAGGAAGTTGCTGAGATTATGTGTATTTGTTCACAACGTTATGTGTATTTGTTCACAACGTTATGTGTATTGGTTCATACAGTTATGTGTATTTTTTATACAATTATGTACATTCTTTTTATACAATTATGTACATCCGAATCAGAAAATTTGTGTGTATTATGTTAATAGTTGATGTGTATTATGTTAAAAGTTTATGTTTATTATGTATTATGTTAGATTATGTGTATTATCTTTTAAAAAGAGTATGTATATTTTGTTATACAATTATGTACATTCATGTATAACATTATGTGTATTCTAGTATAACATTATGTACATTCTTGAACAGCGGGTTTTTTTTTTAAGAAAAAATTACTGTCATTCACTGGGACGGGAAATTTCAAAAAAAAATAATAATTAAAACGACGTCGTTTTGCATCGGGGCGTATAGTGCAACGCGCGCCGTGGTGTAGGATATAAATTGCCCTAAAAATTGGATTGGGCTAGCCTCACTAGCTTGGCTGACTTCTCAGTTCACATGATGGGCTAATAATTATAATTACATTGGCCATGTTTGGTAAGTCAATTTTGTCTTATTTGACATTATTAGCTATTTGACTTAATTAAAAAATCAATATAAGTGTTTGATTAATTAACTTTTTGTAACTCTGAAATGCTAAAATTTAAAAAGTTGCTTAAAACAACTTTTTTCAATTAGCTTTTTGAGAAAAGAAATTATACTAAACAACTATCAGTTAATTTACCAAACACATTTCTACAATCAGCTAGCTAACAGCCACCAAGTATTTTTATTGCATAAAAAGGGGAAAATTGAAATTGAAATTAAATAAAAACTTGTAATGATAGTTTATATCATGAGCTGACTTACACAGTTACACGTACTCATGAGGCAGTACAATCTCTAAAGGCACCCCCAAGCTATCTAATAGCTTCGCTACTAGCTAGCGCGAGCTGAGCTTTATTTATTATGGTTTAATTAAGCTGTTAAATAATCCTAACAACATTAATGCATGTCGTCACATTAGCCGAGTACATAGAAAACATAAGCAGTTAATTAATGATTATTGTCTAAGCCGAAGTTATAAGACCAAATTATATACTGGAAACGGGCGCATAATGTTTCAACAGTAACAGTTTGTTTGGTCTAATTCAAATTAAATTAAAGGAATTGGCATCGGATCGGAGTCTTCTGGGTGTCTCTTCCTTTTCTTAATGGATGATGATCCAAGGTTAATGTTGAGTGTCTGTTGCATATTGATGAGGAGGGAGCAATCAGAGTGCGAGTGCGAGTGCGAGTGGTTGTGCTTGGTTGTCAAAACAGTTACTGGGCTTGATGGGCAATAAAGTCTCCCACAAGTCCTAACGTTTTGAATCAGTCCTTTGTCCATCATTATTTCGCACTTTTCCAGATCATTCTGCCAGAAATATATAATGTTCATTACATGCAAATTAAAGCTAAGTTAAAGGCCGGCTTCAATGAAACAGTGAAATTCGATCTTGTAATGATTTAAAAAGTTTTGGCCTTTTGGGTATTATACTTTACCTTGTGATCTTGAGGAATAAGAGCAGTAAAATGGTTGAAACAACTAGAACTGTTCGTTTCCAGTGGGAGAAACTCTTCAAGACTGCATTTCAGTGCGGTTTCAGCAAGAACACAAGGTCGAAACTCTACCAATTTCGGGTCTGCATGTTTCATGTTTCAATCATCATTACATTAATTTTAAATAGTACAGTGACAACTAACATATATAAATCTGATCTGATCTGAGACAAAATTAAAATGAATGATTATATATATATATATATACCTAAAAGAGCTCCGAGGAGCATGTCGGTAATATGTGAGCGGAGTTCCTCCTTCTCCGGCTCCGATAGGGTTTGTTGAAAGTGGAAAGAAGCAGTGAGGAGATGCAGGTAAGAGTATGGGGTTGTAGAAGACAGTCGCCATCCTAAAGCCTGTAGCACCGTCAATTCCATCCGTTGGATAAGATCCGATTCCAACAAATTCTCATAGCCCTCCATCTGCATGCCATCACCATATCCTAGTACTGTTTAATTTAATTTGTCAATCCAATATTAACAGTCCCAACTTTCATTTCATCCAATTTTTAATTAGTTGACAATCATAATATTCTTTAAGAACAGATCGAAGAACTATGATAAGAATTATAATTTGCAAAAAAATAATAAAATAAGGGGTGGGAATTAATGAGCAATCACCTGTATTTCATGCAAGGGAGGAGGGTCTGTTTCATTGAATTTGGTGGCAACTGATAAGCATGCAACTGCGAGTAGGTCAAACATCCAACATTTCCATTCCTACCAAACAAAAGAAAAGGTTTTGTTTTGAGGTAGTCGCTAGGTGTCAGACAACGTAACTGATGATTAGTGTATATATTTTGAAGCAAATTAAAAATAAATTTTCAGATTCACGTACCTGGCATTTCTTCAACGAGATGAATCTGTCCAGATAGTTGACCGCATCAAACACACTCTCAAATGACAGATTCAATCTTCTTCGAGACTACAAATTAAAACATCAAGAAATCCCAGAACTGAATGTGTATATATATTAATCATAACAGAATTGAAAGATGTGAATAATGGTAGCTGCAACTGTACTTACCCTAATGAGCCAGTGAACAGCTTTAGACCTAGCGTTATGAATGAAGCGGTTGAGTTTGAGGTAATTTGCGTAGCCCGGTTGAGGCATGTATCTGCCTTCCTTCTCCACAAGAATCCCAAAAGCCTCTTCGCACCCTTCTTTCGTATACTTTTCCACAACACCGCCTCTGTCTGCCTCGCCGTAACGGTCACCGTTTTCTTCACCGGCGGGACTCATAGCCGCCCACACTTCATCGCACAGCAAACTGTCCATTATATATATTTCTCTTCAATTATATTCACTGAACAGTATAAAAGGAATGATTATAAGATGATGACCAGTGATGAAGAATGAATTGAAGTTATGTTGTGAAATGGGAGTATATAAAAGGAAGAAGCTAAGGATCATGAAGTATTTTTGGTTGGAATAAAAGATTGAAGGAGGGGGAGGCGATATAAAAAGGAGGAGACGAGGCTCATGAAAAGCGGTAAATGCCGCAAAATAAGATATCATATATTTGTGTGAGTTGTGGGGTTGGCTTAGTTTTTGACCGCATGCCAGTAGTAACTAACTGCGTGAACGCACGAGGATACTCATACTCCCCGTTTGGCTTCAATTTATATATAACAACCTCTTTGCCTGGGTTCAACTTACTTTCACCATTTTTCACCAAACCTGCCGGTCCCACGCTACAAATTTAAAATGTTGCATTTTCATCCAAAAAAAAATTCCACATACATTTGTTTGTTTAATATTACATATTATTTTATTCAATTATTATAATTATGGATGTAATTAACATGGTATGAAATATACGCAAGGTATCTGCGGAGCTTAAGTACTGCTTAACTCAATGTTTTTTAAACGTGGCCTCTATACAACAAGGATGAAAACTGAGAATTAATTAAAAGACTAGTGATTTGCCTTCTTTAACGCTTTTAATTTTGACAACTGAGACAATATGGAGTATATCAAAAAAAAAAAAAAAAAACCTTATATATACAGGGTGGACCACGTACGCCCGCATTTATGAAGTATGAATTATGAACCGCATATGATATCCTACAAACTAGGTGGAGGGAGTACGTGATAGCAGAGAAAGCCGGAATCAATATAACAGCCCAAACTGCAAACCAAATATATAGTTCCCCATTTCCCCATGTTTTTCTGCTAAATATTTGGGCTACGTTCAAACTTAACTCTCTAGTAGTAACATCAAATTTTCCTTGTACGTCTTTATTTTCAAATCCAAAAAACATTATAAGTCTCCCTCCTAACCCATGACCGCCCACTTGAGAGAGTCACTTAATGTCGCTTGACCACAAGATATTTGGCATAGATATTTATTTATTTATGTATATCATGCAGGTAAAACACAGTATAAAATTTAACAAAATTATTTATATTATTATTAAACAAAATATAAATTCTTTTATTATTATTATTATTATTATTATTTCTCTATAATTTTCAAATACGATGATTAAAATTTGCTACCTTAAGATTTTTTTTTTTTTTTTTTTTTTTTGTGAATACTACCTTAAGGAATTGTAAAATATAAATTAAACTAACATTTATAATTATTTTATTTATCAATATTTTAATATTGGGTATGAATTTTTGTGCATAGCATGTACAAAATGTTAATAATATGGGTGTTTATTAATTAATGGATAGCTAATTGTGTTGATTATTGAACTGTATTAATGGTTTATAGTGGAGGGTTTGATAAATTAACTGTTTATAATTGTAAATAGCATATAATTAAATGATTGATGACATAAGTCTATTGTTTTATTTATTAAATTTATCTTTAAATTATTTTTAATTTGAGATATAAATTTAAAAATAAGTTCATATTAAAATTATTATTATTTTTATATAATTATAAATAAATATAGTTAATTACATTTCAAAATTAATGTTGGTTTTATGGGTTGACCCAACATAAACCTAGAAATTATATAAAACAAATTACTGAGAAGTAAGAAATAATTTGTGAGAAAAATAAACAGGCACATGGATTTATACGTGAAAATCATAAGCATTTTAGGTGTTGTCAAGCCAAATTTACTATGTTTCAAAGAATTCCGTATATGTACATTTTGTATAGAAAACTCTCAGGTTTGAAATATCTTTATAGATTTTTTAGAGTTAAAAGGAAGAAGACTAATCATGTTGATCAATAATCTTTTTCTTGCTTTTTACCATTGTCATTTATAGTATAGGAATAGGAATTTGTAATGTGTATGGTAATATGGTCTCTTCTTATGGTATTATTCAAACAATATATGGTAAGATGACATGATTAATGGAATGTAAAGGTAATTGAAGTTGGCTTTATGGGATTTCCATAATTGTAGGATTGTCATTTATTGCCTTTCCTTAATGTGTAACTACTGCCTTAATTATTATTTTTACTGGGCCAACTCATGGACCGGATACTATATATATTTTGGACACCCACCATCACTGGGACTTTTGGACTTATACCATCAATTGAAAATTTGAAATCACAAATTCAAAATAAACATAATTACATAAACACCACAACCAACAACTACTACGTCTACTGGGATTAAATCATACTTTTAAAAATAATAAAATGCAATATAAAAAATTACTTCATGCATGTAGCTTTTTCACTTTTACATTATTGACATCAATAAGTCAAACAAATTAAAACATATATTTATCAAACATTTGATTTTAACGATTTGATCAAGTCAAAACAACTAAAGTTGATCAAATCACCATTAACTCGTTTACTAAACATTCTCAATATATAATCTTACTTTTTATTCCATGTTTTGCTTCTTATTATCGTAACAAGCTTTGATTAATCTATTTAACATTATTACAAATCTGTTATAATTGACAATGGCGTAATATTAATTATAACTTAACTCCTAGTAAAGTACGGAGTAACACCAAATTAATTCCAAATAAGCCTATTTAATATTGGACAGCACTCACAACAGTACAAAGGTACCAAAAAAAACTTTCACAAGGGTAATTGAAGTTGTCCCACATACAGTACATAATTTTGAAGTTAGCTGTCCGTCAATAATATCCATCCATCCAGCAGCACATTATATTGCTAGTACGTCTTAATGTCACGGCCACCTTTTTCTGCACCATCGTCCATCCTAGTAATTGTACCATATTTCTGCCCGCACAGAATTAGCTCAGTGATTCATTATTAGGCAGTATATAAGATAAGAGATCAATATTCAAATTTCGGCAGCAATAGTGTGTGAATTATGACCAAAGTGGACAGATCCCTTGTACGCACTGACATTTGATGCTGCTTCATTGAATCATCGTGATTTACATCCTCCCAAATATTTTAATCAAGTCAGGGTGTGAGAGGCCCTGTGATTCAATTTTTTGGGAGAAGAAATGTACCAGCTGTTCGGAATTCATTTCACTGCTACTTCAGTTTATGAACATGGCAAATTAAGCCCCACCCCCTTGTAAACCTGACCAAATCCACCATGCCCAATTCATTGTGAGCTCTCTCTTCTAGACTTTATTAAGCTTTGAACGAAGCTGATGTATTTTCTACATTAATCGCAAATATAGTTGGTAGACTTTACAAACTACATAAAAATAGTGGTAAAACATGATTGTAAATGAAATGACTTAGATAATTATTATGTGAAATCCAAATGAATATTTTTATGATATAGTTAGTTGAATAGGATAAATATATATATATATATATATATATATATATATATATATATATATATATATATATATATGTTGGGTGGGGGTTGCTTATAGTTGACTGAACCGCTCTCGTTGAAAATTAAATTTGTAATTTTCTAGTTACCAAACTTGGTTTGGGTTATTCCCATTCATAAACCCCACTTGATTGTTAAAGTGACCGGTCATTCCATCTACCAAAGACTTAAATCAAATTTCTTTGCAACAACCAATTGAATACTTAGTCATCTTTAAAACAAATTGATTTTTCTCTCCTTAACCAATCAAACAACTCTTAACCAATTGATTTAAGTACATCTTAGTATCTGACGATATTACCCATCATTTATATTTATATTATTAATAATTTTCATGAATTAAAAAAAAGGAATTAGTAAATAAAAGTTAGGTACACTCCAACAACATATATTAATTAATTGATTTTAATTTGACCCCCAACCTATATATAAGTTGGAAAGAAGAAAGGAAAATATATTATTACGTAAAGCATAGAAGTTGATTACAGAAACACTAAGGGATAAAGTACAAATAAGCCACTGTACTATTTGGAAAAAAAGTAATTAAATCATCGAACTCAAATAACCCCCAAATAAGTCATTGAACCCAGAAAAAAAGAGTAATTATCATTTTTAACCGGTTAACTCCAGGTTTTTGCTGATTGGACTGTCAAATATTTATTTTATTTACGTTTTTTTTATTATTAAAATCCACTTACATAGTAAAATATTTTAAAGTAATTATAATCAAAATAGTTTTGTTTTGTCTAGATCTAATTTATTTATTTATTATTATTTTTTAAACAAAAGATCCAGTGAAAAAATAATAATAATAAATAAATCAAAAAATCTCGACAAGACAAAACTATTTTGATTATAATTACTTTAAAATATAATACTATCCAAGTGGATAATATTATTAAAAATAATAATAATAATAAACGTAAATAAAATAAACATTTGGCAATCCAATTAGCAAAAATCTGGAGTTAACCTGTAAAAAATGTTAATTGTTCTTTTTTTCAGGGTTCAATGACTTATTTGCTCTTTTTTCCCAGGTTCAATGGCTTATTTGAGGGTTATTTAAGTTCGATGGCTTAATTGCTGTTTTTCAAATAGTTCAGTGGCTTATTTGTACTTTATCCCAAACACTAATATAGATAGAGCAAATTGTTATATCGTGGACGACTAGAATCCACCACGTGTATTATACATCTAGTTCCAGATAATGTAAATGTAATTACTATAGTATGTACATCCAACTTATTTATCTACCATTCACATATAGTTAACATATTATAAACATTCAGCAACATGTACATAATCTATTAACAGAAGTTATATAATATGTTAAAGGCATATATATAATTTGAACTAAAATCTACAATGCATATGATGAACCCTAGTACACGATATAATTTAGCGGATTAGATCAAAATTAAGAATTAAAAACTGTTTTTGCTTTTAACAACTTAAATGGAATGTTCATCATGTGTTATAACCGGATATAA